TCGTGTTCGGTTCTCAGACCGTCGTGAATTGCGACACAGACAGGTTACGTAAGTTACTAGGGCAAAGAAAGAAAGACTTATGGATAAATAGGAAGAAAGATTGAAAAGGAAGCATTGACTCAACTCTCCCTCGTGCCACTTATGAGGGAGAGTCTCACTGGGACGATGGGACAGCATATCTACAAAACCAAAGTAGGCGTAATCGGCGGGCAGGCCTAGCCCGCGACCTAACAGGCGAACCGAACATTTCAAACAAACTTAGGTTGCAGACCATTTTGCTTTTGAAAAATACAATTTGTTGCAAAAGAAAAGATAAATAACAGATTGCTTGAGATTATTTTTTTTGTGTATTTTTTGTCTACCTGGCTTTAGGAGGTCAACCAGTTATCGGTGCCAATTAATTAAATCGACAATGGATTTTAAAGTTACTCTAATAAAAGAAATAATATAATACACTTAAAAAATTTAATTTTTTGTTTGAATACTAAGATTTAAACTGAGTCTTTGTATCTGATATATGATACTGCGAATATTTCATTAAAACACGTCATTTATATATCTTTATGCAGCGTTCTAAGGCTCCGTGAAAATGGAAGAGGACACAATACTTGGGCAGAATATATATATTCAGCACGAAGAAGGTGTCTGGGCTAGTGGCATGGCCCAAAATGCCAGCCCACCCAGCAATGTACAAGGGGGATCATTCTAAATACAAAAGTGGAGCCTCACCAGAACAGAGTGATAAACCACTGTCGTATTACATTTATAATTATACAATAGTTTTCTCACAATGAAACTGAACTTAGTCTAGTGGAATGTGTACGGACTAATGTTGCTTGCGTAAAAAGCATCGTTAAAGCAAATTACTGAAGTAAATCATGAGTATTTTGTCTCCACCACGGCTAAAATATAGTCACTTCGCAAATATGGCGCCTCTGGTCCTCCTTGCTGTCACATCCAGCATTGGCATTTCACGATGGCCTCGTTGCTGATCAAAAGCATAATCTGTGGATAACGAAGTGCCCGCGTGGTTGAGCACACTGTGCAACAAAATGTCCACCCAATGAGCATCCACCTTGTCTTCTAGTGCCATCCTCATCGCTGGCACTCCTCATTCACTGTATCGTGCATCGCAACGTGATCCATGATGTTAGAAGTAAAGCATCATCAAAGCATCAGTGTCGGTCGCTGAATCCTCCTGCATGCAAGAAGGAGCTCCATCCCAACATCATTGATGAGGATGAAGGAGAAGAGAGTGCATTGGCACGGGTTGTCTCTATGTCGTACTGCCATGAGGAAAGGGAAATATGCTGCCTTGATATTCATCACGATGGAAGAAGTCAACCTGCAGTTGTAGAGAAAGTGGTGATCAGTCAGAGATGTTAATTAGGAGGCAGGGTTTGATAATGCTTGATGGGTGTGAAGGTTTGCATCTGTTCCCACTTACCAACTGCTGGCCAACTAGCCACCTACTCCATCCACCCATCCATCCAATAGAGACGTGGATGAGGCATCGTCTAATCGAGTGATTATTGCCTTTTCATGTGTCCAACACAGTGCTTCACAGTGACATTTGTCAAGTCATTTATGTCCAGGAAGGACTAGACTGATGCTCTACCTGGCACTTAGCCTTGCCAACACAAGCGCATTGACCCGAGAACGTTGTAGTCATTCACGCCAAATAACATTAATGCCTTGACTGAATTACCTCTCCTACTGTTGTTCCCCTGACGGTTTCATCAACATTTCCCCACATCTCAGACGTTGATAGGGAGAAGTTTTGCATGTGTATATTCATGGCATTGGTATTACTTCGGGATATGTTCTGATACAAACCTCATTCGGTGTGGCACAACGAGCAATTAACGCTGCATTTCTGTCCTACCAACGGGGTGTCACACCCATCAGCAGCTACCTCTGATGACAGAGGAGGTAAGGCGTGATGATCTGCTCCCCATCAATGCGCATCTTTGCCACCTGATTTACCTAACCACCTTAACTGGCATCACGTTGCCGCCGAAGTGAAGCATTATCCGTCTCATCCCAAATTCACCTCATTCCCCACATAAACAGTGCCGCGTTCCTAGCCACTTTCATTCATGTAGGGACGGGATCTTTTGGCACGACAATGTTCAAAGCAAAATAAATCTGTGAATCCTACCTCACCGCTCACACCTTCTTGGCATTCCCCCTCTACTCAACTGCATTTATTGACATTTCAGTGTCATATGATGCGAGAGGAATGGAGAAGTCTAGTGAGGAGTGAATGCAAGAGAGAAACAAAGGCAGGGTGAAGGACGTTTGCTCTTCACTTCTCTAAACAGAACCGTTTGTGAATGCAAATACTGCATGTATGTACGTTAACGTTGATTGTTTGTAGTGAGTCAGTCCTGCAAATGAAATCCACAGTTTAGAACCGCCGCTGCAATTTCTTCGCCTTTATTTCAGTAGATCAGCATAATTTACTTGAGTCATTTGATGGCTTGAGCATATTTGGAGCTGGTACTAGATATATAATGACAGGAGTTATTTACTTTGACCTCAGTTGCATTTTCTTGCAAAGTAATCATTCGTAAA